TGGATTAATTCTGACACACCAAGTGAAACCTTCCTTTGCAGAAATTGCATCTCTTGCACCATCACATGCCGGAGGTAAATGATACATCTTCCTAGCATGTGATACATCCATTCAGCTGACCCCATAAGGAGAAAGAATGCTGAGCAAAACTGACTCACACATTGCCAAAAAAAAAAAAAAAGCATATGTTGAATGTTCTCCTGTGTAGGAATTGGCATGAAACCCACACGCATATCATTTCTTGAACATTGAGAGGGGGTGATGATAGCATGCACAGGAAACAGTAGCCAGTCTCAGTTTCTCACATCCACATGCAGCTTGGGATCTGATGATCATCAGATGTGACAGCCTGCACATGTTAAATCCCACTAGGAAGTACCATCTGTGTCAGAATTTTGTAACTGACTCTGAGAGGCAACGTTTTGTTTCGTTTCAGTCTTCTGTACCATTTCGTTGTTCTCTTTTCCTTTGGATCAGATTAGTGGTGAATTCTGCGTGTGCATATTTCATCTAAACAGGACCATGTTGCACAACTTGCTTGTTTGAGCTACCTGTCGATATTTGGGGTCATTCTTTACCTGCCAGGCACCTCTGGCATCATAACAGACTCATCGAATCATTGAATCATAAAGTTGGAAGGGACCACAAGGGCTATCTAGTCCAACCCCCTGCAATGCAGGAATATTTTGCCCAATGTGGGGCTTGAACCCACAAACCTGAGATTAAGAGTCTCATGATCTACCAGCTCATACCACACCCTGCAAGTGGATGGTACAGACTAATGCTTCAGACATTTTGAGGAATATAGGCAATTCGGTCTTGGCAGACAATCAAGTGTGCAGAAAATGTTACGTGCGTGTCAGAGGCATAGCGGGCGGGAGGGGGCCATGGCTCCAGGAGCACATTTTTTTAGGTGACCCAACAGGTTAGGGGCCCTGGCAGCTGAGTCATGGCAGCAGGCAGATTGGTCTAGTTGGCAGGTGGGTGGAGGCAGCGGGCGAGGAGCCTGTTGGAGGTGAGCTCCATTCACTCTCCAAGCGTGCCCCCCTGGTGCGTGCCCCCACCCCAGCTGCCCAGTCCACCAGGGGGGTGCAACACTTGCCCTGCCCCGGGTACTGGCTACCCACGCTACACCACTGGTGTGTGGAAGTCCCATTGAAATGAGTGGAACCGAAGTAACCTCTTGATTTAAAAAAATATATCTGAATTGTAGCCTGTGTTAAGTGTTTGAAGACCCAGTTGATGTACTTTGAGGAAAACATGTTAAACATTGCTGAAGTGCTACACAAGCATTGCACACAATATCTGCACCTGCTTGTGACTGAAGGATGCACCCAAAAATTACATAAGGTTTAATGTGGATTAGCTAGTTCAGTTCCCTGCTCTATGGCAGGATATCCTTTCCATAATGCCAGATAATTCCCACAAGTGGAGTCTGTCCTATCTGTGGGGGTTCCTGACCATCTTATACCTTCCTATACTTTAAAGTAATTGAGTCAATTCTGTCCTCAGTGGACAGGATGAACAACTCTTACTCCTTGGTTTCCTTCAGACACTCTGTAAATATTTGAAAACCGTCAGCATATTCTAGCTAAACTGTCTTCTCTCTAGACATTCGTTCTAATCCCTTTATGTTTAAAAGTTTCCTTGGGCTCTTTTCTAGTTTGCTGTCATCTTACTTGAACTGTGACACTAGGAACATTTCTCCAGATAATTTCAGGTACTTAAGCTGGACTTCAAATAAATAAATAAATAAATAGGTATTATTTGGCACTGTGGCTTTCACTTGTTCTTCTGTAGGAAATCCTCGCAAGCACAAGGTGCTAAATTTGGTACTTTAAAGAGGTTACCGGTAATTTGCATGCAGCCTCTCCAAAGGAATTTCTCCTTTGAAAGCCAGACCCTTATTTGAGTTCAATAACAAACCTGTGAGATTGGGTCCTGCAACACAGGTGGTGATTTGCTTGAGTAAATTTGGTAAACTTCAAGGATCTGAACCTTAGCTTTCCTCATCCAGCCATGACACACTAACCACCACATCATCATGTTGCGTAATCCAAACAGTGTGTGTTCTTTATAACTAAATGTGGGAAACATAGGATTATTTTCCTTGCGGGGGACTAATTCTTGTTCAGTCAACTAGGATAGTCATGCTCAGACTATCCTATGACTTTCATTCAGTTAAAAATCTAGGATAAAACAGAATAACTAACTGTCCCAAACCAGCCCAGTTCCTATTTTTTTTTCCTTAATTGCCATGTTCTCATTCCTACCTGAGAAACGATGTTGAGTGATTCAGCGGTGGCTCTTGTCTGCTGGAGTTGATGTTATGGAAGTCAGGGAGCTAAACCATAAGTGGAGATGAAACTACCAACAGGCAGAGCCAACTAATTCTCATTTTGTTCCCATCCTCTTCCCTGCTGAGTTCTACCAGGGCAGCACTGAAATTAAGGAGGAATCTGACAGACAGTGCCACTCTTGGACTGGCTGTAAGGTTTTTTTGGGGGGGGGGGCTCTTTGCCCAAATGGACCAGCCCCCACTGGTGTGATTCAGAAGCTTCCCACATTCCCAGTGGTACTTGCCCACCACAAGGTATCTTTTCTAGCTTTGGGATCTTATTAAATCTTAAGAGTTGGAGAGGACCTCAAAAGTCATCTAATCAAACCACTGCTAATGCAGGAAACCCACCTGACAGGTAGCCATCCATTGTTTTCTTTAATTTAGTAATAATAATAATAATTTAAAATGTTATATCCTGCCCAGATTGCTGAGTTTCCCCAGCCACTCTGGGTGGCTTACAACATATGTATATAAAAACACAACTAAACACCAAACATTTAAAAACAAAATATCCTATACGAGCAACAAACAAACCAATAAATCAATAGAAACCAATAATAACAACAAAATTAACAATAATAAACAGTTTACAGTTATACCCAAATTAAAATAACCGCCAACCCCAACTAAACCTTTAACCAACATCAACCTGAGAAAAACAAAACAGAGGAACCATTTAAAACATTTTAAAACATTTTAGCCAGTTGTCCCAACCCAAGAGTGCATGCATGAGAATCAGAAGGTTGGCGGTTCGAATCCCTGCAACAGTGAGCTCCCATTGCTCTGTTCCAGCTCCTGCCAACCTTGCAGTTCAAAAGTACGCCAGTGCAAGTAGATGAATAGGTACAGCGGTGGTGGGAAGGTAAATGGAGTTTCCGTGTGCTCTGGTTTCCGTCATGTTCCATTGCACCAGAAGCGGTTGTCATACTGGCCACATGACCCAGAAAGCTGTCTGTGGACAAACACCCGCTCCCTCGGCCTGAAAGTGAGATGAACGCTGCAACCCCATAGTCACCTTTGACTGGACTTAACCATCCAGGGGTCCTTTACCTTTCCCTACCTTGCATGAGAAAGTAATGTGGGGGATTTCTAGATCTGAATAACCTGACTTCTAGCTTTGATGATGCTGCGTCCTGATGGCACATGCTTTGGCGATCCTCTGATACATAACTGATGCATATATCATTCCCCCACTATGATATGCGCCATCGATGTTATTTCCTTATGCTTTGATAACATTACAAGTAGCGACAGAACATATCAATGCTGGTTAATGCACAAACGAGATCGTGTACAGAGGAGGGAGCAGGGATTGGAACAGATGGCCTTTGGATCCCTTCTCAGTTTGATGAATCTGTGATCCAGGGAGCCTTTGTAGAGTCATAGACATCCTCTCCCCTGACTTTTTTTGGCATGAGCACAGCAACAAACCTTTTCATTAAAAGCTCAGCCTTACACTGTGGAAATTGGAAATCAGGGGCTAGGTTGTAGCTCTAGCAGATTTCCTATAGCTGAATAAACACGGTGGAACCAGGAGACCATGTGGCCCAGCTTCCTGTTGGCAGAGGTACACACAAGTTATTTGAACTGCTGCGTCTAGCACAGACACCCTCCCTTCTTTTGCTATGTCATAATCACTTTGATAAATTTCAGTGTTCAGATCAAGTGACCCACCTGCTTGCATTGGAGATCTCTTTTGGTCATTCACACTGGAGTCAATCCTAAAAAGCATGTCCTGCACGAATCAATGTATATTTGAGGGAAACCGTAAGTTCATCCTTTTACATACATAAATGTTATATAGTTCTGTAATCTTAATTATATTTTATGGCCATATTGTTATTTTTGTTTTCCTCTGCCTTTTAAAATGTTTTTTTAATGTATTCTTTTTCTCTCTCTTTTTACTTGAACTTTCTGTAACATTCTTAATGAAATAATTAACGTGTGTGTGTGTGTGTGTGTGTGTGTGTAGAAAGGGAAGTGTTGGCTCCTCCGGCATTTTGTCCATCTGAGAGGCAATAGGTGCTGTCCCTTGCTCCTCTCCTCCTTCGATATGACTTCAGCACCCCAAGCCTTTCCTGATATATGAAGCATTGTGTGTGGGGAGCGTTCCAAACCAGGTGGACAAATTGTGATGGAAGAGTGTGTTTTTAAAACAAAAACAAAACCACAGCAGACTTTATCAACAGCTTCCCCCATCAGCCCTCTTGAATTTGTGCCCAGCATATATACCCCAGACACTGCCCCAAGTGTACTTAGCACCGGGCAGAGATGGCAGGTCCTCCCTCGGCTGCACATGCCCCCACCCTCCAGCTCCTTCGGCAATAGCTGACCTGCTTAGCAAGCGGAACTCACCACCACCACCCCCCGGCACATGGTGGGGCTTGCCCGAGCCTCTCTCCATTCTGCCCAGTTTGGCCCGACATGGGCGAAGGGGGGGGGGAGATCCGGCCCACCTGCCCCCCCCCACCAGCGTGCAGCTCGGCTTCCCCTGCCGCTGCGCCCATCGCCGGTGCCGTCGCGCCTGCTGCTCTAATTCCCAAGAACTTCTCCAAAGTGAGTTTCTCTTCTCGCGGCGGGGGGGGGGGGGAGGTAGAGAGAGAGAGAGAGAGAGAGAGAGAGAGAGAGACCCTTGCCTCCTTCCGGAGGTCTCCCAACTTTTCTTCCCGCCAACTTTGCTTGGGGGCTGCGGCCCGGCCCCTGGGTTAGGGAGCGGGGCTGCGTGGGAGGCGGGCAGGCGGGGGCGCGGAGTTTCGCCACGCTCCCTAAGCGTTCTGCTGAGAGTCATCAATTATGCAAGGGAACGGCGCGCTGCACTGGGGGGAAGGCAGGGGAGGCAGCGCACCAAGATGGCGACAACCGCAGTTTCTCCTGCAGCCTCCCCACCTCTGCAGTCCAGCAACGCCTTGCAGGAGTCGCGCTAGCGCCGAAGCCACAGTAAGTTGCCCCGCCAGCCCGGGGGGGCACTCCAGCGTGATCGCGGGGACCGGGGGGTGGGCGGTGGGGGGACGGGGACCCGCGGGAATCCCACCCCCCAACAGATCTTCCTCCCCTTGGTTGGGATTTGAATTTTTTTTAAAAAAAAACCAAAAAAAAAACAAAAACCTGAACCTGCCTCTTCTCTCCCTCCCTCCTTCATTCCCCCCACCCCACCCCACCCCACCGCCCTCCACTTCCAGGCAGGGGCTTTGCCGCAGAGCGATTTCCCAGCCCCGGAGCAGGGGCCGGCGCTTCTCTTCCAACCCCGCCTAAACAGACGCACACACTTTCCCACCTCCCCACTCTTGGGGGAAGAAGTGTGGGGAAGGGGGCTCATGGGCCCGAGCCTTGATGGCCCCAAGTCCAACAGTGGGAGATCTTTTCTTCCCCCCCCCCACCCCCAGCCTTTTCAAGCAGTTCCCCAGATCGCGGGGGTGGGGGAATGCTTCCTAGTGCTATTCCTTTCCCATCACCCCTCCCCGCGCCGTATAGCAGGCTTTCCCCCGTTTTCTTGCCCCCACCCCACCCCAGGATTTCAGAGCGGTGCTGCTCTTGCTCCCCACTTGGGAAGCCCTCCAAAGAACGGGCTCCTCCTGGGTACTTGGGAGGCTGGGTGGAGGGTCTGCTGCGCCCCCCTCGCCCTGCGCTCTCCTCTGCAGGGCTGCTGGCCAACTCCTACCTTTCCCCAGCCGAGGGAAGCCGATCCTTACCTCCCCCCGCCTCCCCCATAGCCCAGCAGCAACCTCTCGAGCGTCTTTTTTTTCTGCATTGGGAGAAGGAGCGCGGCGCCGACTTTCCGCTGCTGCAGGCAAGGCAAGGCAGGCCAGCATCTGGGGCGGGAGGCAGAGAGAGAGAGAGGTGAAGGTGGCGGCGGTGAGGGGGCTGGTGGAACTGGTGCATTTTCTCTCCCCCCCCCCCGTTCCAATCTCCTTTCCTATCCTTTAGCAGGCCACCTTTTTCTTGGCAAGGCTCCCTCATCCTTGAATCCGGGCCCTCTAGTCTGTATTGGCCTTCACACGGGGCTCGTTGAGCCCCAGATTGAAAAACAAATAACCCCAAAGCCCTCCCTCCCTCCCAGATCCTCCGCAAAACTACGGGTCTAGAGCCTCCTTCACCCCTCCCTCCCCCCCCATGCTCCCAGTCTCGATCTCTTCCCCCCTGATCTTTTTTTCTTCTTCGTCCCAGGGAGGGGGGAGAGGAACAGAGAACGAGGCTTCCTCCCATTAGGGGACTAACTTAGAGCTGTCATTATACACCCCCACACTTCTCTCCCCCCCCCCAACGCATTCCCGGTGGACGAAGTGAAAGGACGGCAAGTTTTATCCTGAGTTTGGAGGAGGAGGAGCAGGGGGTTGTCTTATTTGGAAATCTCCTTGGCTGGAGCCAGGGTGGGGGAGGCGCTCTCTCTTCCCCCACCCTTACCCCCGCCGCCGCCGCCTCGCTGTGCCTCTTGTGTCCACTCAGCCGATGTGGGGAGGACATAGGGGGCGTGGAGGACTAGAGGAAGTTGGAAAGGCCGGTGGGGGAGAGAGGATCCACGTTGCTGGAGATCAAAGGTACATCGGTTTTGTTTTATTGTGTTGCAAAGGGCTGGGCAGGGGGGTGCTGAGAAGGAGCGCGGGCGGCGCAGCCCTTCTGGATGGGGACAGAGACTGCAGGAGTCAGAGATCGCCCGCCTGCCTTCCCGATCTACATCTGCTCAGCGTGTTGCAAGAGCCCAGGGTGGTGGGTACGGATGCATCTGGGTTTCTTAGATGGGACAGGGAGGTGTGGGGCGCGGGGGTTGGGGGTGGACGGCCTGGAGATGTGGCCGCTTCGCGCTCTCGTCTCTTGCGCGCCGACTCCTAGGGAAGCGCTGCTTGCCTCTTGTCACACTGCAGCGTTCTCCTCCGCCGTGCGAACTCATGACCCTGGCGTCCTGCGCTCCATCGGAGACACCTTACCGGGTGTGGGGATGGGAGGCGGAGAGGGAGGAGTTACAGCGGCTTCCCCAAAAGACTTTCCTTTTGAATGGGGTTGGGGGGGGGAGGTGATTAGCTTTCGCTCTCGGCTGTCGCCGGCGTCTCCCCGTCATTGGAGGGGGGGGGAATGCTTGCCTACTGTGTTTTACAGGGAAAGGGTTAAATCGAGGAGCGGTGGAAGAAAATGAATGTTATTTAGGGTGCTTTATTTTTGAGATCTTCTCCCGGCCCCCATAAATTGATCACCTCCTTCGGTTTCCGCTTTTGCTTGAGGTTTTTATTCCTCTCCCCCCACCCCCACCCGCTCTGTCTTTCTGCGGCGTTGGACTAAAGGGGAGAGCGGTTTAGGAACGTGGTGCTGAAACGGACAGCTCCCTGGATCCCGACGGGAAGGGGAAGAGATCTTCGTTACAAAGCGCGCATATTTTTTACAGGACAGGTTTTCTTGCGGGGGGTTATAGTTTGTTTTTTTGTTTTTGTCTTTAATGGGCTGAGTGTTTTCTCTGTGTCGCTTGGGCCTATCCATTAGGACCTCACGCCAATCATCTAGGCTTTTGCTGGTGGTGGCGATGAGGGAAGAGAAGCAATTCCTCTTAAGAAAGCCAGGCTTTATTTATTTATTTATTTATTTATTTAGTAACGTGGTTGAGTGCAGTTGCTTTTGAAAAGCATCCTCCAAGCGATCCCAGTGTCTTTATCAAATGAAAGAATTTCAAGGCTGTTTGATTCTGGCGTGGAGGTAGTAAAAGGAAACACCCGCATGTCCATAGGAATCTCTCTCCCCCCCCCCCTTTGTAAAAGACGGTTGCATGATTACATCACAGAAGAAACATAATGAAGCCCAGTAAGCCCAGTAGAGATGAAAGGTGAGGACTTGAAAAACGGTTTCAAAAGCCATGGGCCCATTGGGTGCCCTGCTGGAGAAAGTAACTCTCTCTCTCTGCCTCAAGACTCCATCTGCAAAATGGAAATGATTCAATAACCCATTTCGCAAAATTACTGTAAGGGCCAGTGAGATATGAAATCACAGTGCAAAGCTAAGATTCCATATAAAGTATTAATAATAAATGGAAATTACAGATACCTTTGTTATAGATGTGCAATATGCCTTGTGGGGGCCTCTTGAAGATGCCTCCTTGTAGCAGTGACTTTGTATGGTGAGCTGTGCTGTGTTTCCTGGTTTGCTGCGTGGCTCAGGCCCCACTGTATAGTTTCTCTCCGTGTCGCTGCAAGCTGCCACCCCAGGAAATTGCAGTGGCAGCACAATTTCAGCCCCAGTCAGGGCTGAATTATGTAGTGAGCAACCAGCATCACCTGGTTTGCTGCGTGGAGTTAACTGCCACACAGAATAGCCTCCGTGGTCCTATCACATTGAGAAATGCTCATTGGAGTGCGTTAAGCATCTAGAAAAATGAACTGTTTCTGTCATGGAATAGATGCATTCAGCACCTTGTTATAGCCCCAGAGATATAATGACCCTTCATCATTGTCATACTGAAGAGCCATCACCAGTATACTTCATGACAAACAGACATCTGGGCATCTGATCTGTCCAGCTGGAAGTCAACAGCTGTCATGTGGTGCTAGCCAGATGATTTCCTCTTTCATCCTAAACCTTTAAAATGATATCTTAGCCCTGTGTTGTCTGTTGGCCCATGCTGCTTGGGTGCACCAGACTGGTGTTTGATCCCTCTAGACAATGTCAACATAGTTAATTAGTTTTCTAATTATTTGAAAAGTTATTTGCACTTCATATTGAATAGGTTTTAGGGTGGAATGTGTAGCCAATGGCCCAATCTTTTGTAACTAGATATCACTACAGGTTTACACCTATCATTTTGTGTTACTGCAGCATGCTTCAGGGAGTGGCAAATTTATTTCAAGGACTTAATGTTTCCAATGCTCTCCAATGGGTCAACATGTCAAGGAGATGGTTAGTAGCACGTGTTTGCAGGATGCTGACATTCTCTTACATGTTGATGTTTGACTGTGTGGGGTTAACCCAAACCTCACATGATAATGAAATCCTTGTTTGGTCTGCCCTCAGACTTTAAAACCTATTCTTTTAAGCCAGTTCCTTAGAGTCGGATTTCCACATTGAATGATATAATATATGGATATATTTAGTCAGTAAGAATCTCCCAGCTGAAATCACTGGTAATGTCAACTGGTAAGTTTCTTCCAGTTACTGCCAGATGAAATCCACTGGCTTGTGTTTGACTCATTTTTTTTCTTTCAGAGAGAATCTATTTCTGATTGGAAATGATGATAAATTGGTTCCTCTTCTCTTAGGCAGCTTTGTCAATGGTTAATCATCATTGTAAATAGAACTGGATTTCAGTTGCTTGGAAGTAGGTAGTGGGATTTGGTGTAGCTAAGAATTTGGCTTACAAACATGTTCTGCTTTCATTCCAATTTAGAGGAAAATGATGCTTTCAGTGAGACATGTGTAACTCCTCCATAGTGTGCCCCAAAGCACCTGGAGAAGCTATGTTTTGTGGAATTGGCCAACTTTCTATCCCCATGATCTGATTTGTTTTAATATATTGTTTTCTATAACGTGGTACTAATATATATTGGTTTTCCCCAGTTACTTTAAAGTTGCAATCATCCATTAATTAACCAGGCTCATTTTAACAGTACACTATCCATGCCAGTCATGCAATTTCCATACGTTATTGATTACCTTCCTGTTACACTCCCTGACCATTGAAATATATTGAATACACTGGAATAAACGTATCCAGTGGTTTGCTCAGAGGAGTTTTGCAAGGTAAGGAGTGAGGTTAATGACACTGTGATAAATGGCGTTTCTGAACCATAGAACTACCAAAGACAGGGTCATCATTAAGCCCTGCCTCAAGGCAGGATCCCACCGATGTAGATTTAAGCCACATGATCCCATACTCATTGTGACACAAGCAGAAAGCAATTTTGAACAGATGCCTTCGAAACATACAGTTTCAACTTACTCTAGCATTAGAAAATAAGTTGCTT